TCAGTCTCTCTGAGGAAACTCTGGCTGCAGTTCACCTGAAACTGGTGGAGGATCAGAACCAGGAGGAGGAAGGTTCTGGTTCTACAGGGTCAGAACCAGTGAGGAGGAAGGGTCTGGTTCTACTGGGTCAGAACCAGGAGGAGGAAGGTTCTGGTTCTACAGGGTCAGAACCAGGAGAAGGAAGGTTCTGGTTCTACACTTTTGAAGGTTTCTGATCTCCTCACGCATGATGTGTTCAAGGACCGATGGACAGATAAGAACCTGCTGATTAGAGACGGGTGATTTTAATGAGTCCAAACTGAATCTTCATGAGAACATCAGAACTGGACCGGTGGGGTTCTACCAGAGGAACTCTGACTTTTATCATGTGACTTTGACTATGTGAAGAATCTATAAAGTCAAGCTGCTGCTATGGAAACAGGTGCCATCTGCAGTAAAGCTGCTTCAGCGGCAGGAGAACTCCTCTCTTCTCAGATCTTCTATCATCCATGTAGTCAATATAAATATAAAACCCTGGATCCAAACAACCCTGACCCTGAATGTTGACCTGGTTCTGTTCAGTCTCAACTTCAGAAAGTCTGTTTTAGATGAAGCAGCTTCTTCTTCCTTCAGTGTGTCTGATTGTTGCTGCTGCTGCAGAAACACGAGCTGGAGGTTCTGACTGCGGTGGACCAGGAGCAGAGGAGGAGGACAGATGGAGGGATGATGGAGGACAAACAGGAAGTGATGGGCGCCATGACGGCATCTCTGAGCGAAGGCTGGGCGCTGCTGATCCACCTGCTGCACAGGAAGCAGGAAGTCCTGCTGACGGCAGCAGAGTTTCACCGCCGAGCGCTGGAGGTACCAACACCCACATTCAGGTTCTGGGGCCCAGATTCATCATCCATGTACATTAAACACGTGTAGCCCAGAATGGAGAAGCTCTTCAACCACAGCGATGTTTTTAGTGATCAAATATAATTATTATTGTGATCCATGAATTTTCAAATTGACTGATTTACAAAAAACAGAAAGAATCTTAAAGCAGTTATTTAGCTTCATTCCTGAACAGACACATGAATTCTAGTGGCTGAATGTTCTGCTTGGTTCATGTCTGACTCCTCGGAGAAGCCCAGGGGCTCAGATCTGGAGATAAGAAGGTTTAAACTCCTCCTTCCTGTTCAACACGGTGAAACGTGGAGAGCTGAGTGGCCTTCAAGCTCTCCATGAAGCTGGATGCTCTGTGTATGTACGGTGCTGAACAGGTTCCTCAGTTTGTGTTTCAGACGTCAGAATGAAGATTCAGTTCCAGCTTCGACCTGCTGGCTTCAGCTCAGCAGAGACTTTTTGTCCTGACTCCGCCGTTTCCGTGTTGGAGTCATGTGACAGGAAGCTGTTGTTCTGTCATCAGGCTGCTTCCTTTATCAGCGTCTCAGGGTCACTGTCTGATTAAAACCTGGATGGCGTCCGACTGCAGTTCCAGCCATGCAGCAGCATTCTGAATCAGCTTCACTGTGAATAAAACTCAACGTAACAGGTAAAGAGTTCTGGACTGAACCCTGCAGTCGCCCCCGTCAGGCTGAGACAGGAACTACACAAACAGCAGGTTTAAATCTGCGACAGACTAGCTGCAGCTGGCCGTTGTGTTTCCTCTCCAGCTTTTATTCTGATGGTCACAAACAGGATGTTCATTCAGCTGCTGAGATTAAATCAGAGTCCAAAGAGTTTCCTGCTGCCGCTGACCAGCCGTCTGTCCGTCTGTCTGTCTGTAGTTCTCCGTCAGCATCAGCAGGTTGGAGGAGCTGCAGCTGAGTCCAGCCGACAGTCTGACCGAAGTTCAGCTCCGATTCGACGCCATGAGACGAGGTAGCCACTCATTATTATTATTGTTGTTGTTGGTCTACAGGCAGTGAATCGGACAAACTCAGGTTTAACTAAACTCTGAAAGCAGTTCAGCAGACAGTTAAAAAGAATCAGTTCAATCTACTGGACGCCCATCACCAGCCCTGCATGTGTTGATTCTCCATCCACTGGTCCACACAGGCTTCCTGCAGGTATTTAAAGGACTCTGGTTCTGTGGTTGCAGATGTTCTGGGGAAGTCGCTGCAGGTTCTGACCTGCATCAGCATCCTGCAGCAGAAACTGCAGCAGCTGCAGAGGACCGAGGCCCTCCAGAGGACGGGAGGAGTCCTGCAGGACGAGGAAGACGAGGAGGTGAAGAAGCTGTGCAGCAGGATGAACGTGTCTCTGGTTGAAGTGACGGAGGTTTGATTTCATCCTGATCAGACGAAACGCTGCCAACTAACAAATAAACCAACAGGTTCAAAACTCAGTGTTTGTTCACTTTGGGCTCCTCGTCCACCGCCCGCTTATTAATAATCACCTGCGAGCAGTTCTTCTGTCCAACGATCAGGTTTCAGGTGTTTCCGGTTTCCGGTACCGTCTCTAATCTGTGTTGCTGTAAACTAGTTTCTGTGTCTCTGCTGGAGAAGCTTCTGGTCAAACTGATCCAGATGTTTGAGCCTCAGAGGCTCCAACATGCTGCCTGCTGTTCTCTGTGTGACTGATGCTGGTTTTCCTCCCAGAGCTCCCACAGCTCCCAGTACAGCAGCGGGGCGGCACTGAGGCTGGACCAGCTGGTGGAGACACTGCAGGACCGGCGCCGGAGCGCAGAACAGGCGGTCCGACTGCAGCTGCAACTGGCCGCGAACCAAGGAGAGTCCAGACGAACCGGTTCTGAAGTAAGGAACCAAAAGCAGCTTCATTCTGCTGCTTGTCCTCCAAAACCAATCCTCTGATTCACAGCTCTGAGATCTGTAGCACGGTCAGAACTGATCCGGCTTCATGCTGCGGCTCTGTTACTTGTCAGGTAAACAGCAGCCAATAGGAACGCTGGAACAGCCACACCAACAGCTGTGATTGGTCCACAGCCCTCTGAAGGTGCTCTGTGGTCCTCTCTGGTCGGTCGAGGCCTCAGATCCTTTCAGCTGGAGTTGGATCAGCACCTTGTGGTTCTGGACGTCTGTCACATGTCGCCGTAGCAGCAGAGACTCATCAGTCTGACTGTCAGCGTCCGTCTTGAGTTCAGGTTATAAATATAAATCCTGCTGGGCGGCGTTCTGTCTGATGGCTGCATTTAAAAATATTCTGACGGAGGTTTGACGTCTCAGCATCCCTCCGACTGCTTGACCCACATTTACATCACAGACCTGGTGCGGTTCTGTTCGTTTGTGTTGACAAGACAAGAAAACATCAGACTACAAAATGAGTTCTTTAAAAATCAAAACAGACGTAAAAGAAAATCTGATGAAAATGAGCTGAAACTAAAAATTACATCAAAAACAAAAAATGTGTAAAAATCAAATGACTTTTTATGTTTGATATTAACAGCAGCAGTTCTCTGCTCTACAGAACCGGAGTCCAACTGGGAACCTGGACCACAACCTCCAGTCTGGATCCAGATCAGAAGAAAGGACCGACCTGCAGCCAGAAACCAGATCAGATGAGAAACCAGGATCCAAATCAGGGCCAACCAGAAACCTCAGATCAGAGACTTTAGATCCAGACCTGTGGCCTGAATCCAGAGTGGAGCTAGAACCCGGATCCAGACCAGCTGAGACCCAAAACCTGTGGTCCAGATTAAGATTAAATCTGAAAACTGGTTCCAAATTATGCATGAAGCCAGGATTGGAATCAGAGGACACGGAAGATCTG